ACTCAACTGAATCTCTCGTTTATGATGTTCTACAACTGAATGTGCTGCACACAGGCCGACTCATGTTTCAGTTGGTACGATATTCGAGATATCGTAGTATATTTTCATGAAGCAAACTACTCACAATGTTGCCAAAACCTCTTCGACACCCCACGACCGGTTTTGCCCTTCTTGGGACTCATCACGTAGGTGCAGTCCGAGTTTCCGTCAGCCTTATGTTCTACTTAAACCCAAATTAGACTGTTTTCGAGAAACACACTCATTTACAAATCACTTTGGTAAACACGAGAGGCTCAACTGAGTCTCTCGCTCAGGATATTCTAGAATATCATAGGTTACTTACTCCATAAATCTGTACATATCATTCCGTATGAAATGCCTATTCCCTCAAAATTTATCTCAAGTCGTAATGAGTCAACGGGCAAATCAGCGATATTGAAAGACTGACAGGAATCTCAATATAACGGAACACATAATATCGCTTTTTTTCCATTAGTAGATGCCAAGCAGTATACACGAACAAGGAAACGCGGGATTCATGCACGATTTCACGGTTTCGCGAATCTATCCCATGTATTTCTGATTCTGATTTCAAGCGGATGAAATTTCGTGAAATGTACTAAACCAGCATGTATACAAAGCTGCAACTATCTGACACCACCGGGATTGCATTGATGTTGCTTTGAAACAATAATGAATAAGGATCAGTCACAGATTTACTTAAGCACTCAATGCGAAGGCACTGATGAGTGATCTGTTTGTCGTAAACGAGGGCGAGATGACTCAAGTGCGAATTTACTGACCGGAAGCTCTGAGGTTCGAACCAACTTATACATCTCGACTTCCTCTGTCTTGGCTTGGGCAACCTGGCAGTATCTCAGCACCCTTGCTTACCCCGGGTGGCATGGCAGCTAGGCACCGGAAGGGTGTTACAGCTGAACGATTTTTTTTTATTTGTCGTAAATCTATCAAAACCAGGGTCTCCCAAATTCCAACTTCGGAAGGTATCTGACTCACCGATTTTGTAGCTGTCCGGTCAAACTTCTATTTTTTGACTATCTCCACCTAAAAGATCTTATTTTAACCGCTGATACCAATCTGTTTATCTTTATGTACGTGAGAACGCCTGGAGAAAAATTGAATGCTACACGTTTCGCGAGACTATACTCATTTAACCAGATAAATTCCCACACCAGTATTTGTAAAGCTGAGTGTTGCCTTTTGGATCTGCTGGTCGAGTAAACTCGGCAAGTCTATCATACCGCGGCGGTGGACACTATACTTACTTCATAATTGCAAAAAGCTCGCATCCGTAAAAAGCATACGAAACGAACTAATAATATCATACGGACGAATTTGCAGAAGAGAAAAACGGTGAAAAAGCCTTTGATCCTTATTATAGAGCGGTGGCTTTTTGTAAGTACAAAGATAAAAAATTAATCGTTCAGTCGCAACGCCCTTTCGGTGCCTAGCTGCCATGCCACCAGGTGGTTGCACGAGTGCTGGAGTGCCGCCAGGTTGCCCAAGCTTAGACAGGGAGGTCGAGAGGCAGAGTTCGAGTTCGAACCACGGATCTTCTGGTTAGTAATTTGGCGCTCTAACCATTTAAGCCATCCATCCCCCTGATTGCTAAAAAGTTTTCGACAGTCCAGCACCGGTTCCATGTACTTTGAGGAGGACCCGGTAAAAGAAGTCATCCAATCTTTATCGATATTGTGTTCTACTTGAATATCAAGTTGTACGTAGCTGGCGAATATCACAAACGAGAAAATCTGTTAAAATCTCTGGCTAACATTAATGTCATTTGCAAATGAGTATATTCCTACAGCGGTTCACAATTCGTTGTTGAAATGGAACATAGGTTTGATGGGAACTCGGGGACCAAGCACATCTGATGGGCCACAAACAGGGTGAAACTGGTAGTGGGCTGTCGAACGGTCTTCGGGAATCTTTCCAATAGTGTTTTTTCTGAGGAACTATTTTGGGCCATTTCAGATGCGCACCAACTGAAACATGAGGCAGCCTTCGCGCAGCGCGTTCGGTCGGTTGAATGATTTCATAAACGAGGAATTCAAATGACGTTCAGGTGAGTCTCTCGATGGCATCGAGAGAATTTGCAAACGAGTGTATTGCGTCAATAAGTTCGTTTTGTTGGAAGTGTTTCATAACGTTTTTCGCGTTAAAGCCTCATAAATCAGGTACACGGAGTATGTGAACGCCCACTTACTCCCGTCTATAATTTGCACCCACACTGATGGAATTTGAATACAACTTTGGGTACATGACTGTCACTGCGTTTTTAGCTCAGATCTACACATAAAAACTCTTTCTGACACAGCTCAGAACGTTATACAGGAAGAGGAAATTATCGTCCCGGAATCTAACATTGATTGTTATCCTGACGAAAGGGAACCGAAAGAAATCGATCGAGTATCGTCTCGATTACCGACTGATACACCAGAAGATGGAATCTCCAGTGAATATTGTATGACGTCGTGACGATGTCGTGAACTTAGTGTTCTTTTGTCGACCTTCTAGATTAAGGCGCATCATTTGGCATTTCGGTTTGTCTGCATCCCATTCAATAGATTGACAGTGATCTGTTCAACGTTTATTGTTTATGGACAACGATTGAAAGCTAAGGAAGGGGATTCTGGATAGAAGCAGGACGCTGTACATATTACTGAGACAACAAAAAGACAACGTTTCTGTTAGACGTTCACCAGTGCTTAGTATATCCTCCGTCCAGAGTCACCCTACAAGGAAAACATGTCTATAGTTATGCGGAAGCCGAACCGAGTTAGGTCAATCAGCATATTCGAAGGCTTAGTTTTACGTTTGAGAGCACATAAGTTATTTTTGCCGGTATGAATGGGCATGTTGAGAATGTCAGTGTTACCGCCACAGTTGAAAAAAAACCGTTTACATTAACCTCCCGTTTAAGCCGACCCTGTTGGCCGACCTACTGAACAGAAGACTTTTTACCAGTTTGAACAAAGTTTTCCCGGTCGAAACACGGGCCACAAACAATCGTCTGTGTTCCTTTAATCTCCAAGATAGAGTGTTTGTCCACGCCCAAAAATGTTAGTGTACTCATTCTGCCGCTCCTGTGCAGCGGAATACATCGGACGCACGACTAGGCAACTCAGCCAAAGAAGAAAGGAACACACTCTACCCCGGCTAGCTTCTGGAACTAAAAGGATGATAATTAACTAACGTACAACATCTGGCAGGTGCGG